GAGGAGGATTGGGAAACCGAAAGTGATGATAGCGACGATAACGAAGGTTATTATAGTTCAGATGATGAATAATGCAATTTATTAGTGACTACCTATGTAAATAGTAAATTAAATTTTGTGTATTTTAATTATGGTAGTGTAAAGATGGCAATCACAAATTAAAATCAAGTTGCACACAATTTGAATTTGACTTTTTTAATCACAAATTTAATCATATAATATATACATTGAATCTAACTATTTGAATTTAAGTGGTATTTATGAATATAAGAATTAGGGTTTTCTCTTTTTGGAGTTGAAACTATTGAAATTGAAAGAATACAAAAAATTGAAACAAGCATGAAAAATTTGAAAATTTAAAATCAAGAATTCATCTCTCTTCGCGATGTTCCACACTTGGCTACAGCCCATGTGATTTTGTCCTTCTCTTTCTCAAGAGGTCAAACTTTGTCATTGCAAGTCATAAAGTTAATTAAAAACTTTTTTTTTAATAGGAGAAAGTTCATTACTCTATTATTAAATGAAGAAAACCCCCCTTTATGTTGTTAAAAAATACGCCTATATGAAGAGACATCCAAGAACCATTTCTATTTCTGGCCTTTAGGCCTCATGTGCGCCACGTGAAGAATTAAATGTTTATATGAAAAAAGAGAATACAAGAGTTAAATTTTGGAGTTTAAATGTCTATTGTATCATTGAAGATTATCAAATAAAGTTTATTTTTTATTTTTATTTTTGAAAAAATAACACAAGAGTAAAACTTTGAGGATATATATGTAGCCCATGTGTTATGTCATAAAAGTTGCAAACCCATTTAAAAACTTTGAGGATATATATATGTAACCCTCAGAATTATAAAAACAAGCAAAAATGTTTATCAAATTTCAAAATTTAATTTCGCTACAAATTCCCTTCCAATGAATGATGACTACCCATTTAATTTCTATTTTGTTGAATCAGATTATGAGTTTATATTTTTAGAGAGATATAAGTTATTTTTTTATTTTTTGTAACTAACATCGGAGTAGGCTTGAAAAAAGAAAAGCAATACCAATGTTCCCCCCCATAATTAACAAAATATCACAAAATATAACTTGCGCAAGAAAGGAGCAAATATAACTTGCGCGACGAATTACCCTTTTCGTCGCGCAAAATGAAGCATAGCTACTTATGACGTGGAAATGTACTATTGCGCGACGAAATGAATGCCATGTGCCACAGATGTAACCTAATAAATAAATAAAAAAAATTTAAAACTAATTCTTCACAAAATAAATAATACTAAAAACAAAATACAAATTATAGAAATTGAATTAAACTAAAATATTTTGGTTTTCCGAGAGATTTGCGCGACGAAATTAATTTCTACGTCGCGCAAGTTGTCCACATTTCCCGTTAGGGTTTAGGGTTTACAGATTTATTTCTGGTAATCTTGCGCGACGAAATAAATTATCGTCGCGCGTAGCGTATTTGCGCTACGCAATTAATACCATTTGTCGCGCAAGATATCGAAATTTTTGGCGGCTTAGGGTTTAGGTTCTGAGAATCTTGCGACGAAATGTCATGTCGTCGCGCAGGTGTCGTTAATTTGATGATTAAAATATTACCTTGCGTGACGCCATTATTTTTGCTGTCGCGCAACACATCATTGCGCGACGAAATTATTTTTTCGTCGCGCAAGATGTCCAAAATATAGGCGGCCCTTCGTGAAAAAATCGCAGTTCTTTATTTTCGTTATTGTCTCCATATTCGAACCCTAGCTCGAACCCTCTCAGACTTCGAACCCTAGCTCGAACCCTCCAACCTTAAACTTCGATTTCGAACCCTCGAACCCTATCAGGTTTAAATCCCCGTTGAACCCTCTCACCCTCTCAGACTGAACCCTCTCGCCTCTCACCCTCTGACCTCGCACCCTCTCACTTCGAACCCTCTCAATTCCCTCCTTTAAACCTTCGAACCCTCTCACACCCTCTGAGCTCTCTTACTCGAGCCCTCTCAGACCCTCTCTCATTCGATCCCTTTCGTCAAATTGCTCGATTCTCAGGCTGACTCTCGCATCTAAATATCAGGTATATCTCATCTTCCTCTAATGGCTCTGGATCTGAATTTTGAATGAACAAAATTAGGGTTTTTTTTGTCCAAATTAAAATTTGGGTTTCATGAAATTATTTAGGATTTCGTTTTTAATTGCGCTGTATTGTTTAGGTTTTGTTATTTGATGGAAATTAATTAGGGCTTTTGTAATAATTGGGTTGTTTTTAGGTTCTGTTGTTGGTTTGCATGTATTGTTTAGGTTTTGGTGGATGTGATTGTGAATGTTGATTAATTGGGGGATTGGGGCTTTGCTGGAAATTAGGACTTTTGCTGTTTAAGTGGTTGTGTTTAGGTTCTCTGTAGGTGATTCATTTGCTGCTTGGTGTCAGATTATGCATTCTGTGTTGCTGATTAGATAGATTGTTTTTAGGTTCTTTTTTCGGTGTTATGCTGTTCAGTTCTTGAATGATGATGAATTGGTTATGTTTCTGCTGCTTCAAGGTTATCATTGCTAGTTACATTTTGGTGCATAAATGGTAGAACGGTATTATGCTGGTTATAGTTTTGTTAAACTGCATGTATTGGTTGCTGCTATTAGTTGTACAATTTAGCAAACTTTTTCAATTTTCTCTCTTATCACGGTTTTACGCATTTTCTGATGCAGGAGCATGTATTAGGATAATTTGTTTTCCTATTAGTTTCATTTCTTGTTTAGGTTTTAATTTTGTTTGTCAATTGCGGTTTCTTATTAAACTGGGAACATGAATGCTTGGCTGGTTAATACATAAGCAAATAGATATGTAAATCTGTTATATTATTTAGATATGTAATATATATATGCTTAGTCTGAAGGTTGGTTAGGATATTTTGTGTTCTTCAATTAGTTCTTGCTTGTTCCGTTGTGCAGATGTCAAACCTAAATAGAAGTCGTAAGGCGGTGTCGGCTGCATAGAGTTCGCCTCCCCCGTCGCAGCCATCAGTTGCCACAACTCCAGCAGAGATGGACCACTTGCCAGTTGGTCCAAGGGTGTCCGATGCGCCGACGTCATCAGCGTCTTCAGTGGCGCAACCTGTTAGCGCCAGGCGTCGTCATCGCCCACCCAGCACCTCTGACACCATATCGACAGACGCTTCTGCTGGGTCGGGGTCACAACCCGGTAAAGATTTCCTTCACCTCCAGTTCTTTTGGACCAATATTTTCTAGTTGCATATCTTATTTATTTAATGTTCATTTCATATTTCTTTGCAGCGAAGAAGAACACTCGGGGACCATGTCGGCAGTTGAAGACGGCGAAGGTCACCCGGGTGACCAACAGTCGTATCAACATCGAATACGACGATCGGCATCGGGCAGCCTCGACGGCGGAATTGCATAGCTCTTTGGCCCACGACATTGGTCATGTCGTTCGGACCCATTGCCCTATGCAATGGAAGTCTTGGAAGGTCATACCTGACGAGGTCAAGATGGAGGTGCGCGAACATTTGTCGGTATGTATCCTACATTTTATTTGTTTGTCCTTCAAATTTTATTTATTTATATGCCTGGTCTATAATGAATTTATTGCAGACGAACTACAAGATAGAGGACCTCGATGATGAGTCATTGGCGTACGTTAATAGACTTTTTGGTGAGAGGTACAAGCAGTGGAAGAGCGACTTGCACCACCATTTTCAAGCATTTGATGATCCACAAGTCGCTCTTGAAGAGGGTTGCCCGAAGGAGCTTGAGGGTCGGGAGGATAGTTGGGCGTGGCTCTGCGCTCATTTTCTGGCACCCGAATATGTGGTATTTTTATTTTTATATTAA